CCTGAGGACCTGCTGGGGGGGGGCGCGCGGGGACCCGGGGGGCTCTCACTCCGCTGATCGTCTTTCCTCCAGTTACAAAAGTCTCTCGGCGTAGGGAGGATTCCCGCGTCTAAGTTATTTTACCCCTGCAGTAGCTGTAGAACATAGGGGGGAATATTGTCTCTCTTTCGCCGACGAGGGAGCCACCGGGTTCCGGCCCCGGGACACTGACGGCCGTGTCTCCCGCCGCCTAGCTGGCCAGCGCGCTCTTGCCCGAGGATGAAAACTTCCTTCTGCTCTTCCGCTGGGAGAGCCCCTTGGACAGCAGTGTGGAGTTCATGCAGGTGAGTGAGGGCTCGTGTCTCGACGGAGGAGAGGAGAGGAGAGGCCGGGGCCCCGGCCACCCGCTGTGGCCGCCCCCACGCCTGCCCCGTCCACAGGGGAGAGCTGCCCCGGGGACGGGACCAGGCGAGGAGGCCCTGTGCTCTCGGAGGGAGTGCCGGCCTCGGCTGCTCCAGAGCTGACCGGCGGCTTCAGCCCGGCTAGAGCACGGCTGAGACCTCAGGCTGGGAGGGACGCTGAGGACCGGGATGGGCCGGGGTCAAGGGGGACCTGCGGCCACGCCCTTGCAGAGCTCCCGTCCCTGCTGCCTTTAGAGAATGCCGTCTCGGTGTCTAGTCGCTACGTGAAACTGCTTGTTTATAATTGTTGACGACGAATTATAGTTTTGGAGACGTTGATTCCTTTCTGGTGAGTTCTCCCCAAACAACCACTGTCACCAAAGAAAACCTACAACTCCTCGCAGCCTGACTTGCACCCAGTGAAGGGCCCTCAGAGCTGAGCCCGGGCCGCAGCAGCGTGGGGCCCAGGTTAGTGGAGGGCACGCGGGCAGCGGCTCCCGTGTGTTTCAGGTCTGGCGCAGATACGACGCAGACAGCAGCGGCTTCATTTTGGCGGCCGAGCTCCGGGTAGGCGACGCTGGACCTGTCATGGGTGAGGGGGGCTCGTTCACCTGCGGGAACTTGACGCGTCGGTGTCGTGAGCCAAGAAGCGTGGCTCTGAGTCTGTGGCTTTGAATAAAATGTATCCGTGTTTAGAAGGTTTAGAAAGTGCCGGTGACACCGCTCTCTCGGGGCAGGAGACATAGTTGGGGCTTCGTGGCACTTTTTCACGCCTGGAGCTGTTCTCTGGGTTCCATGAGCTCCGTTTACACAGCGACAGCCTCTGTTCTTGGATTAATCACTTGCCAAAAGCATTTTATTTTCTCCTTAAAACAAACGAAACATAATCCCTTGAACGAGGCCTCTGGAGATCTTCGCGGTTTCCTGTGTAAGACGTGGCTCTTCTCTCGATGCCACAGAACTTCCTCCGAGACCTGTTCCTCCACCAGAAGAGGGGCGTCCCCGAGGCTAAGCTGGAGGAATACGCGGGCGCCCTGGTGAGTGGGGAGCCTGGGATCCCGCGGCCGCTCCCGCCGCCCCGGGACCGGGTGTGGCCCAGGGTGCCTGCTCCGGCGAAGCCTGTCGCCATCGGACGTCTGCTGAACAAGTTTATGTTTATGGGACAAGACTGGATGTGGGGTAGATCCAAATGTATAAAAATACACCGTGTTTTAATAGTTTAAGTGACACATTTTTTGATGCCCAAGTTTGCAGAGAATGGGCTTTCAGAGTCATTTCAAATAGTAAAAATAAGCTGGACTTAGGGAGTGAGGAAGGATGAGGGGAACTGTTTTTTTAAATTGAGTTTATTGGGGTGACATTGGTCCAAAAACCACACAGATTTCAACTGTACAACTCAACAAAACGTCATGTGCACACGGCATCGTGTGCCCATCACCCCAAAGCAAGGCCTCTTTCTGTCCCCATTTCCCCCCTTTGCCCACCTCCACCTACCCCACCCCCTTCCCCTCTGGCTGTCACCACACTGCTGTGCGTGCCTATGTGCTCTCTCTCTCTCTCTCTCTCTATATATATATATATATATGTGTGTGTGTGTGTTTATATGTTTATGTTGTCTTTTTTTTCTTAATCCCTTCCCCTTCTTTCTTGTATTTTTAATGCCACCATCTGTTACCTGCATCCTCAGGTTATCTCACTGCCTCGGGTTCCCTGTCCCGCCTCCAGCTATAGATCTATTGAGAGATTTTCTGCAACTAAAATGTTGTGAGGTCACAAAACCCACACGCACTACAACTGAGAAATGCACAGAAATGTGTCTCCTCTGTCTTGCTTAAACCAGCCTGTCCGTCCGGGTTTCACCTTCGAATCCCACCTCACTTAAAGCTTAGTCTGACCCAATCTATTTAATCCGCCTCTTTGAATAAAATGCTAAGTCCCTCCACACAAAGGAAGGCTCCGCCTCTGAGTCCCTGCCTCCACCCAGACTCACCTCCAAGGCGCATCCAGATGGGTGAGGAGGGAGGTGGCTCGGGGCCTCTTTCCCTCCCCGCAGCCCTCTGGGCCCGGAGCGGGCAGGCTCTCCCCTGTTCTTTTGCTCCTCGGCTGCTTTGCCTTCCTGGCGAGTATTTGTTCTGTACTCTGAAGGGGTACTCAGGGATGTGAGTCTGCCTCAGCCAATTTGGACAAATAGCATCAGAAGGCAGATAGGAAAGGACTTCAATGACATTCGGAGTGAATTTCCGTTACAAATATTTCTCACAATCGTCCCCCCTTCTGTATTCCAGATGAAGATCTTTGACAAAAACAAAGATGGTCAGCTGGATCTCAATGACCTGGCCAGGTGAGCAGCATGGTGGGGTGTCATAGACCCCAAGACGGCTCCCAGGGGTTCAGGGACTGTACCCCCTTCTTGCTGAAAGGCAGAGGTCAGGCCTCACCTGAAGTTCTGAAAAACAGGTGCATCTTTTGGGGTGACAGACCCCTTTGTGAAGATAACGAAAGCCCTTCTCCCCAAATGCATGATAGTTTATGACTGGGTCAGGGGGCCAGCCCTGCCCTCCAAGGCTGGCCAGTTGTGGTCCCACATAAGGGCCCCATGACAAAATGTCCCGAGCCCCACTCACCGGTTCAGGGAATGTCGGGCAACAGAGGACACCAGCTGCCACTTTTCTTGTTGCTTTTATGGAGGAGAGAATTTTCATAACCTGTTACTGGGCCATTTCATATCAAGATAAATTTTAAAACATCTATGATAACTCCTAATGCCTATGAAAGTCTTTCCCAATTAATTTATTTATTTGTATAGTATGTAAATTCTTATTTTCCAAGCACCTGTCTGTCCTATTCTGCAGAGGAATCTAGAAATTGCCTCCCCTTCCATCACATCTGAGGTCGAATTTGCTTTAACTAGGAGTTGATAGAGCCTCGTGTCAATTATTTTTCCCCCCCATTTAGGATTCTGGCTCTTCAGGAAAACTTTCTTCTCCAGTTTAAAATGGATGTGAGTAGACGTTCCTGTGCACGGGTTCATGGCGTGCGTGGTTCTCTGTGGATGTGAGAGGGAGGGAGGGAGGGAGAAAGGACGGCGTCCGTCTTGCCTTCAACTTATCTGGCGGCTTATGAGAATCAGGGCTTAAAGGTCACCGACTCAAAGTTTGTAAAAGTGTCTAAGGCCCTGGAGAAAGTATACAGCGAAGGGTCGCACTGCTGGACTGACCCACTTGTCTTCTCCACGCACAGGCTTGTTCCACTGAAGAGAGAAGGAGGGACTTTGAGAAAATCTTTGCTCACTATGACGTGGTGAGTGTGCCTCCCTGTGTCCGGCCGCCGGCCATCTCTGTGTGGGGTCGTCCTGCCCAGGGGCCCTCACTTATATGATGACCAGGGGTCCTCACTTATATGATGACCAGGGGCCCTCACTTATATGATGACCAGGGACCCTACACTTATACGTGTGGTGCTATGTCAAGGTACCATCAGCTTCTCCCTGTAACCTCTGAGAACCAGGTGAAAATGGACAAGGGAATATTTATGGCTGTGAAAAGATTAAAATCACAATGCTTGTTTCCCCCCCCTTTGGATCCAATCTAGAATATGCTCAAAAACAGGCAAACAATCGAATAAAAAACAGCATCGAACCCAAAGAAAGAGAGGCCAAGTCAGACCTGTTTGACATAAAAACTTCTCTGATAGGATTAACTGTTGGGTATTTTTGGGGGTGTGTGTGAAATGGTTCTAAAGCACAGTCTGGCATAGAGAGTGAATTTTCGAGCACAAGGTAAAGAAGTGCAAGAAGGGAGAGAAACAAGGCGAACGTTGGGGAAGGTCAAAGAGATGCCACCCAGAAACTGACCAGGCTGGAAACCCATGAGCCAGATTCTGAGCAGAAAAGAGGCACCTGGAGGAGGCAGGTAGCCAAGGGGTTAAGTGTGTAGCCTCGGGGACCAGCTCCCTGGGCTTGAGTCAGGGCTTGTTAACCGCTGACCCCCGCAGCTTCCTGAACCTCCCTGGGCCATGCTCCGGGCCTGTAAAGGTGGGGTGCTGAGGATCACACCTGCCTCGCGGGTGGTTGTGAGAATTATATGAATCCGTGTGTGTCAAGTTCTTAGAACAGTGTCTGGCATGTAACGAGCACTGAATTAGTGTTTGGTGAACACACCAAGGGAAGAGATTTTAAAAATGATACGTTAAAGGTTCGGGATGAAGCAACTTTGAAAAGAATAGGTCAGCTGCCATAACTGGAACTTTAAAGGAGAAATGGAAATACTTTAACATGTGTTGTATTTTATAGACATTCCCATCTAAAAGTGTTACACACAGACCAAATAATAATCCTAATATGCTCACTCATTCCAGTTTCTCTTGATTTAAAATATGTATTTTAATAATGGTGAAATCATTAGTAAATCATAGAGCAAAAAAAAGTCAACCTGCCTTTCAAAGGGTTAATGTGGCGTACGTAGTTAACGCTTGTTAGCCGAGGCCCATTTGGAAAGCAAGTCAGGTCAGCGTGGGCTGTGGGAATGGCATTTGCAACAGCCAAGGAGCTCGAAGCTGCGGCTGCCCGTTTGGTTCCACAGGGGTGTTTACAATGAATTCTTTCAGTTTACGTGGAGCATTGACAGCCTGCCCAGAGAGCAGAGGCTGGAACAGGCCATTTCCGAACCCGTGTGCAGTCCCCAAAGAACACCGATTCGGTCTAGTTGCCTGATTTGTTCTTTAGCCTGACTTAAGGGAATGAAACCGGTTGACTGAATCTTTCATCTTTCAGAGTAAAACTGGAGTCCTCGAAGGCGCCGAGGTGGACGGGTTTGTGAAAGACATGATGGAGCTTGTCCAGGTGACCCCTGAAGCCTGGGGACCCACTAGGCTGCCCTTTGGGTCGATCCCATTGTTTACTTTGGGGAATCAGAGCTGAAGACAAATGCCCAAGGAGACCATAGAATGTGGTCTCGTTAACCACCTTTGAGCTTCTGTGAAACCTGACAGTCTCCTCCTCTCTTAATTTAGTTTGTGGTTTCGGTTAAGTGGGACCCCGTAGGAGCGTCTGGTTGCCATCATTTAGAAACCATCTATTTTACCCAAGGAGCGCAGAGCTGCTGTATTTGTGGCTGCTTTATTTTTTATTACAGAAAAATTTTTCCCCTCAGATTTAGTTATTAAAATAACAAAAACTTTTAATGGCATGCAATGAATCCCATACTTGGTATTTTAATTTATTTTTTTTAACCTGGGAGCTGCTTCGACAGCCCTGATACGATAGATGAGACAAGTCACTGCTGTGGTCGGGCCGATCCTGCTGCGCTTGGCTCCCCTTCCCTCTGTCACAGCCGCTCCCAGGGATGGAAGTGGCGTCGGTCATTTACCCTGTGGGACAGTGAACATTAGCTTGTCTCCACGTGGCTGCCTAGTTCAAGAATGAAAGCTTTTGTTTCCTATGAAGGTGTTTTAGAGATTTCTTTGGCCGTGAGGACGCCTTGAGGTGGGGCTGGGGCTGGGGAACGCCTCCAGGCCTCCCGAAATCTACCCTGAAGACAGCCGCCTCTTCTGCTCACTCCCACCTACTCCAGTAATCTGTGGGTTTGGAAACTGGATTTTTTGGGCTTTCCTTTCTCTCTGGACATTGACTGATGTCGAGTCACCACCACGCGTACAGCTTCCCTAGGCCCCCCCATTTCCCCGTGAGAACAGCGTGAGCCTGGGAGACAGCCCTTCACGGGTGGCAGAGGACTTGGAGTCACAAATGCTGTGACGACCTCCTATCCTGGCCAGAGGTTCTCTCTGAACCTCTGTTTATCTGTAATCGAAGGGTAATTATTTACCTCCCACAATGGTTGTGGGGGTTAAACGAGATGACCTACGGACAATCACTTAGTTCACGGGTTGTACTTTTGCAGGCCCTTGAGTTTAAAATATTTTCCAGTTCCTTCTCAGCCTGGAAAAATCTCTCTCGGAATAAATCCGACGTCCCACACTCAACAACGTAACGTTTTAGGTTTTCATTCACTGCAACCCTTGTCCAGGCGACAGGCACCGGGCCTCCCACGGGGAGATGACAGAACGTGCCTCTCAAAGCAAAGCAGGACGGGGTTTGTGGCCCTACCCTCTGCTCTAAGGGAAAATGTCTTTATTAAAGCTGCTCAAAGGGCAGGCTTCCCGTAAGAGCTGCGGAGAAGCGATGTGGGGACAGGAGTTCTTTGCCTGAAGGGACGTGCTGAACGGTGACCTGTCCTCTGGCCGCGCGGCTGCTCCTGGTGGCCTCTCAGAAGCAGGTGCCCCGAGCTCGCGAGCGGCGGGGGGCGGTGCTGAAGGGCTGTCCTCGCCTCGCCCGCTGACCTGTCGTTTCTGTTGTCCTCAGCCCAGCGTCCGTGGGGCCGACCTCGACAAGTTCCGGGAGATTCTTTTACGTCACTGCGACGTGAACCAGGATGGGAAGATCCAGAAATCTGAGCTGGCTTTGTGTCTCGGGCTGAAAATCAGCCCGTAGTCCGCAGGCGGCTTTGCCTTTTTGCGCTGTGTGTGTTTCTGGGCTGCTGCCGGCGAGATGGTGCCTGTGCTTGGCTGGGGACACGGGGAGCAAAGTCTGTAACGAAGGGTTTGGTGTTTGTTACACAGGACCTGGGCCCCTCTTTCCAACGACCGGGTGGTTTCCAGCCTCCCCAGCACCCTCCCCGCCTCCACGCAGCGTCCGTGTTCGTTCCGTGACCCCAGGCTTCCTGGCCCCCGGCCTCAGTGAACCCGCTCACCCTCCTGTGCT